CCTGAAATGTCACTGATGGCACAGGGAAATCATCACTGAGATGGGGAAATCATCACTGAGATAGGGAAACCATCACTGAGATGGGGATATCATCCCTGACACAGGGAAATCATCACTGACAGGGGGAAATCATCACTGAGATAGGGAAACCATCACTGAGATAGGGAAATCACCTCTGACACGGGGAAATCATCACTGAGATGGCACTGATAACACAGGGAAATCAAACCTGACACAGGGAAATCATCACTGAGATGGCACTGCTGATACAGGGATATCACTGCTGGATGAGGGAATCATCACTGATGTCACTGTTGATACAGGGAAATCATCCCTGACATGGCACTGCCAGGATGGCACTGCTGGCACGGGGAAATCACTGCTGGTATGGGGATATCATCCCTGACATGGCACTGCCAGGATGGCACTGCTGACACAGGGAAATCATCACTGAAATGGGGAAATCATCACTGAGATAGGGAAACCATCACTGAGATGGGGAAATCATCACTGAGATACGGAAATCAAACCCGACACAGGGAAATCATCACTGAGATGGGGAATCATCACTGAGATAGGGAAATCATCACTGAGATGGCACTGATAACACAGGGAAATCAAACCTGACACAGGGAAATCACCCCTGACATGGGGAAATCATCACTGAAACGTCACTGCTGAGAAAGGGAAATCATCCCTGAAATGTCACTGATGGCCCAGGGAAATCATCACTGAAATGGGGAAATCATCCCTGACATGGCACTGCCAGGATGGCACTGCTGGCACGGGGAAATCATCCCTGAGATGGCACTGCTGACACAGGGAAATCATCACTGAAATGGGGAAATCATCACTGAGATAGGGAAACCATCACTGACATTGGGAAACCATCACTGAGATAGGGAAACCATCACTGACACGGGGAAATCATCACTGAAATGTCAATGCTTATACAGGGAAATCATCCCTGACACAGGGAAATCATCCCTGAAATGTCACTGATGGCACAGGGAAATCATCACTGACACGGGGAAATCATCACTGAGATGGGGAAACCATCACTGAGATGGGGAAATCATCACTGAGATATCACTGCTGGCACAGGGAAATCACCCCTGACATGGGGAAATCATCCCTGAAATGTCACTGTTGATACAGGGAAATCATCCCTGAGATGGCACTGATAACACAGGGAAATCAAACCTGACACAGGGAATCACTACTGGCACAGGGAAATCATCCCAGAAATGGCACTGTTGATACAGGAAA